CTGGCCGCCCTGTGGGAGGAGCCTGCCTGAGCTTGGAACCGAGGCTGCAAAAGCAGAGAGAGGGGGATGGTTCTGGGCCATGGCCTGCACCCCCGGAACAAGCCGAGACCGAACTGGAACTCTTTCTTGACTTGTATAGGAGTTACTACGTTGTGGTTTTGCTCAGACCAGTTTGGGTTAGGTTGTTCAACATGTACAATGAAAGGGGACCTAATGAACGTGCCAGAAAAAGGAGCTAAGTATCTTCGGTAAGAGGAGCGAGACTGACCAGAGGCAGGGGCCATGCGGCCCTTCCATCCTGACCTGCAGGACAGGACTGAACGTGACCCCACTCCTCCCAGACGGCATTTCTCTCTGGGAGGCTGGCATCCCAGAAAGGGTTCCGGTCACCCCAGGGGCAGCCTCTCCCAATCTACCAGCACATGTTAGGAAGGGAAATCCTGGGATTGGGAGGTGGTGGGTGGGCCTTGGGTTCTGGGTAACTGGCCTGGCCCACCTACCCAATCACACCTGCGCTGTGGCTTCCTGCCCCCCCAAGGGTCATCCTGCTGGTTCTCAGCCTGAGCAGCGTTTAGAGGTGCAATAGGTCACCCGGGCTCTGTGCACTCCCTTGCCTGAGTTCCGGGCTGCCTGCCCCCATTCATATCCCCTGGCCCGTACAGCTGCTGTAGGCATTCTGGACCTCCAGCATCCACCATTGCCTGTCTTTGCCTGCAGTCTTCCTTTCTAGAGCGGCCAAAAGTGCGGGGGAATGAACCACCTCCCTCCCAGCAGCCTTCAACCACCGACGGAACGGGTATGTGAATCACCCCTCTTGGGAGGAACTTTTCTGAGCCCTGTGTTCTGTGCCTTAGAGTCGCCCCAGCAGGATTAAGTTCCAGTGGCTCTCAGCGGCCACTGTGACTCTCTTTCCTCTCCTGTCTCACACGTCTCTTCCCTATACTGTTTTCCGGGATCTCCTGGAACCAAGACGCAGCCTCAGCTGCTCAGGAACTGGGCCCTGGCCGAGTGCAGCTAAGTCACCAGGACAGACCACAGACTGCAGGTCACGCCTCCCTGGGCCCCAGCGCCTCCCCCATCGCAGGTGCAGCTGCAGCTGCATGAAGCCGTGTCCCAGAGACCAGCACTCCCGGGCACAGGGTCTCTCCTCTCCACAGTGCAGGCCTGGAAGGGAGCCAGCGCCTCCCTCCTGTTCCCACCAACTGGGATGACCTCTCGCCTGGAAGCAGAGCTGACTGGTTGTGTCAGGTGTTGGCTGAGCTTGTATAATTCCTGCTTTTAGAATGGGAACATTGGAAACAGATTGTTTTGGGAGTGTGTGTAGAGAAAGCTGCCTTCACTCGGGGGTCTGTGGCCTCCGGTAGGAATGGCAGGATCCCACCCTGGTTTACCTGGGGCTCAGAAAGTCACCAAGACAGCCCCGCCCCCTTACATCCCTTACCAAGTTCTTTGCCAAGACCAACTTTTGCGTCTCTGGGTAAAACACACTACAGAAACAAAATTCTTTTGGTGTTACTGTTCTATTTTGGTGACAAGGGAGATCCCTGATGGAAGCTGGATCTGTAAGAAAAAAAAATAACACAGAGGCATTGGCTGACACAGTACTTCACGACACCAGAAGTCTGGTGGCTGTGCAGTTTTACCACCTCATGGGTGACAGTTTAACAGCCGACGTCGTCCAGTGGGAAAAGAAATTGTTTGGGATTTAAATGTCTTCCATGTCTGCATCTACTCTTCCTTCTTCCAAACACAGGATAAGACGCACGGAGACTTTGCCTTTCCTTCAGGCTGAACCATGCTTATGCGAAGTGCCAGGCACGCTCTTGGCTCTGTTCCACACCGCACCCCACCCCGCCTCGCCCCCCCTGCCGCCCGGCTGCTAAGATGGAGCATCGCTCCCCAAGAGCTAGGCTGTGGGGGGGAGTTCTGCTGCGTTCAGTGCCCACAAGGACAGGGGTAGAAGCCTCGTGCATTTAGTGACTCATGATTCACTGGTGGGATGCTGAGAGGTACACTAAGCTTCAGGAAAGAAAATTCTGGAAATATCTTTTCCCCGAGAGGAGACTTGGCCACTGTCATCAGGTGGTTTTTCACTGTGGACCGAGAAGGACCCCAAACTGCCTGTCTAAGAGGGCGTTAAAGTGGAGCTAACAAAACTCAAGATGACTCGGTGCGCCCCCACAGTGCACTCCCCGCCCCCCGCACACCAGCTCGCCCAGTCACTCCCTCAGTGGGGCTAAGCCAACAGGTCTGCACACTGAGGTTCAGCCTGCACTGGCTAGATACACATCACCTTCAACAACACCCTTGCACCCTGGCTGGCGTAGCTCAGTGGATTGAGCGCGGGCTGCGAATCAAAGCATCGCAGGTTCGATTCCCAGTCAGGGCACATGCCTGGGTTGCCGGCCATGGCCCCCAGCATCCGCACATTCATGTTTCTGTCTCTCTCTTTCTCCCTCCTTTCCCTCTCTAAAAATAAATAAATAAAATCTTAAAAAGAAAAACACTCTTGCCAGAGGGCACTGCTGGCTGCCCCCCCAATCCACACTCACTCATTTCCTGGCAGGGTCCCTTGTAATTTGGCTGCCCTGCTCCTTTGTCCAGCCTCGTCCTGGACAGAAGCAACCCCAGCCCCAGCCAGGGAAGAGAGAGAGGATGGGTCTAGATGGATCTACTCCAGCCATGACGGTTCAACCCCTGTGCTACTAGTTTCCTTAAGAAGGGGCATCAGACCCAATCCATGGGTACGCCACCCCAATGACAGGGTGAGTACGCAGGGGAAGGGTGCTCCTGGGAAGAGTTCCTTAACTCAAAAAGAGACAAAAGAAAGAGCTGGCCTTTTCCCTGCTTCTGGATGTCCTGATAGGAGGCTGCGATTCTGGAAGCTTCTCCAGCCAGCTGCCCCTGGGAGGGACTAGCCTGCCCTGTGCTGAGGGTGTCAGAGCTGAGGGCTGGAAAAATCCCTCCGAATCTCTCTGATGATACTGTTGACCTGGACCTGCCCTGACACTTCCCAGCTGTCCTACTGGTCCGTGAGACGATCTCCGTACCACCATTTTGAATTAGATTTTCCGGAATTTATACCAGGTAATCAAACTCATAATCCACGTATCAAATCAGTCTTAAACTGCCTCCCAGCAGGTAGAAACCTACCAATGCACGGGTCTGGGACCTGCCCCAGGCCCCGGCAATGCTGACTGTTAAAGGGGAACAAGACCCAGGCCTGCCTGCTCCCCGAACCTGAGCTCGCACCGGTGGGCTCTGCTGTCAGGAGACTCCAGAACAAAACGCTTTAGCTCAAGTGCAGTCTTCACATCGCCAGTTGGCACCGCCCACCCAGGCCCTGTGACTGGGCCCTGCACGCCTGCGCAGCCCCTCACTTACTCCTCACAACCGTCGCCCTGGGAGGCGCTTCTTCACCGTCTGCAGAGCTGACACAGACTCTCACAGTGTCCCCTGACACCCAGCTACCAGAAGCAGTCCTGACGGGACCTACAGCTCCGACACCGAAGCCCGTGCCTTCCCACCACCGGCACGGCGAGAACCGCAACCAGACCCTGGAGCTGGCCGCCTCTGTCCTCCAAGAACCTCTCCTCGTACTGGAAGGCACGGTGAGCTTCCTTATTTGCAGATGAGGAAACCGAGGCCCCCACCAGCTGTGTATTTCATGAAGCTTCAGGAGCGCCTACTCTTTCTTCTGTGCATGTGCCTTGATCAGGCGGCGGAGCCCTGGAGCAGGTGCCGAGTTCTCACTGGAGTTTAGTTTCTGGGTGGGGCTTTGGGGGCACTTGGAGCAATGGCTCCCACCGCGTACCCTCCTGTGGCCACTCCCTGTCCACATCTGCGGCCGGTGGTTGTCTGGGGGTGGTTGAAAGGCTGCCACTGTCCCCTCACTTCCCCCATTGTCCCTTAGGAGGCACTCACTGTGGGTGGACTTGACAATAGGGACAATTGTGGGTGCTCTTGGTGCTTGCCCAGATCCCCTTTCTGGGCTGGAACATTCTTTGTTCAGCTCCCGTGAGTTGTGAATGTTGGCTGCGAAGGACTCAGAGCTGCCCCTTTCCCCAGAGACGCGTCCTCAGCCAAATGGGATTGTTTTTCCATAAAGGTAGGCACCCCCTACCCCTACTCCTGTTGCCAGTGCTGAGTGACAGAGGGGCACAAGAAGGCCAACCCTCTTGCTTCAAGGTGAGGTCATTCTATAGTGTAATTCAGAGCCCCCGTGGCATCGGGCTGAGGCTGGGCATCAGCTCACCTGGTCTTTGCTCTGCTCCTGCCCTTCACCTCTCTCCCCTCCCTCAGACCCTTTCTTCTCAATAAATCCAGTGCACTCGAATCCCTGTCTCAGGCTCTGCTTCTAGGGAGCCCAGCCCGGGACAGGGGAGGTTTGAAGATGCCGTGTGAGGCATGCTCCCTGCCCTCACGGATCTCGCCGTGCGGTTGTGGGGATGGGCAACACGCACACAAAACAACCACCCACAACGCAGGGTGGCCCAGGCTGGAGAAACAGAGGTTCGCCTGGCGGCAGGAAGCACGGAGGTGCCGTGGGGGAGGAGGGCTTCATGGAGGAAAGAGGACTGGGCCACGCAGAGGGGGCAGGACTGGAAATGTTGGGAAAGAGGGAAAGCTTTCTAGGCAGGAAGGAAATTCCAAGGAAAGGCCCTAAGATGGGTAGCAAGGTCTGCTCTGACCTTTCCTGACCAGTGTCTCTGACTAGGGTAACCGTCCCAGGCCACCGGGGGGTGGGGGACTCTGTCCCGACAATCCCAGTAACGGATCTAGCAACCCAGGCCGCTTGAGAGAGACCATCCCGAGTCCAGGAAGGACCCACTCCCTTCTCAAGCCGCCCATGAGAGGCCGGGGGGTGTGGTCCCCTGCAAAGACCTCCCCCTTCAGAGGGGACAAACACCCACCCCATCAGCCCCGCATGTAGGCCTGGCAAGTCCCTGGGCCTGAGGACCCCCGGAAAGAAGGCCGTGGGCACCGAGGGGCCCACATACCTGCTGGACTGAGAGCCGGGGCGTTGTTCACAAGGATTCAATGATGTGGTAGGCGGCTCCCAGGGCCCCCAGAGCCACAGCTGCAGTCCCGAGAGCTTGGAGCACGTGAATGACGATGACTGGAGTGCTTTCTTGAAGGTCTTCTGTAGAGCAAAGCGGAAAGCCCACCGGTTGGGGGAAGTTGGGCTTTAGTGCCTGTCTACGGGGAAGGGGACATTGCGGGGTTCCCTCAGGATTGCAGGAATACCCACGTCCCCCCTACCGACCCTGCTCTCTAGGGGACAGAGTGCCCCCCACCCCTTCCAATCAAACCCTACCGCAGGACCCCAGGGCCTGAGGACGGGCTGGTCTGGGATGCCGGCTCCCCTGGACATTTGGGGCGCCAGGTCGCGAAGGTGGGCAAGGCCATTGTGTGCCAGGCTCTGTGCTAAACACCTCACACCCCGTGTCTCCCCAGGCCTCACAGCAACCCTGCGGAGGCGGCTGTGTGGCAGAGCCCCACCCGGAATGAAGACTCTGAGGACACACACGCTAGCTACACCCTCCACGGGACGAGGACAGCGTGTGAGCACTGTAACAACCGTGAGAAAGGCTTTCCCAAGTGCAATGCCCACTTTGATCAAAATCCTACTACAGGAGCGGTTCTTATCTAACGTGAGTGTGTACTGTAAGCCAAGAGTCAACATCCCGCTCTACTGAGAAAGGAGCGGTCACGGCAGCAGGTGCTCAGGTCTGCACAGAACGCGTCAGCCAGACTGCACCCCTGCCCCTTCCCCCTCACGTTCCTAATTCTGAGCCTTGCTTTTGTCTCCTCCCCCATCTGGAAAGCTCTCCCTTTAAAATAAGCCACAGAGGATCCTCAGATCCTTCCAGACAGGGCTGACACGACACAGTCCCCCTGGGGCCCGGTGCAGGAGCGAGCACCCTGTTCTTCTGAAGCTCTTTGAGTCTCTCTGGTAGGACATGGGTCCCTGGCTCGCATCTTAGTGTCTAGATGGACGCGTCTTCCCCTACCGTGCAGCCTGCACAGTCTTCAAGGGTCAAGTTCCCTGTTCTGGTTTCCCTCCTAGTACCTAGCATCCTGTGCAGATTAGGGTTTCCTGCCTGTTGGGTTCAAAAGGGCCATGGACCCGTGGTTAACACCATATGGACAGAAATGCTGAGTGTGAGGGAAAACGGCTAATAATGAGTGGCGGGCAGGTCCTTCCTGACCCACTTCCCAGGTTGTGGAGTATTTGTAGGGCGAGGCGTGTTCTTCCCGCACCCCTGGGTATTTGTTCGTTTCTCTTCGTAGGTGTAAGCGGTGGTGCTTTGTGGGGTTGGACAGGAGAGGGGATCTGGTGGGGGAGGGGCTGGGAAGAAGGGCAGGAGGAAGGTGGGGGATGGGCAGGCTCTGTTCTTAGGTTGGGGTGTGAGTTTCCCAGATGGAAAGCTTCCTCCACGGACATTGGTGAGACCCTAGGTACAGGCAGAGATGCCGTGGGCCCGGAGCTGGGGGTGGGGGGAGGCCCCTCTCCCAGCCCTGGCACATAGGCCGGTGCCCCTGGAAAAGGTTCTGCCTGGTGGTTTCCAGGAGGAGGGAGAGAAGCACAGATACTGTGGATGATGCCATGGGTGGGGGCTGCCGCGCCATGGACAGACCAGCCTGGGGACGTTGTTTCCTTGTGGGGGGGCTGCTAGAAATACCGGAGACCCTCTGCATGGAGTGGAGGTCTTGCTATCACCAAGGGGGCACGTGAGTTACAATCGTATTTGTGACTAAATTCCAGGGGCAATTCACAGGCAGGCCAGGAACCTAAAGCTCTCGGCTGTGGTATGGGCCACGCAAGGAGGCCGACAGCCAAACGGAGCATTTGATTCTGAAGCGCCCGGGTGACATGCCGGTCCGTGCAGGTGGGGTACCCTGGTGGGGTGGGTCTGCTCAGAAAGAGCCATGTCGAAGCCCGGGCTGTGGCCACCCTGGGGGGCGGGGGAGCGGCTCTCCTTCCGGCCTAGGAGCCTGCAGAGGGAGTTACATGCGACTGAGCTACAGGCGGGCCCGGGCAGAGCCTGGCTCTGGGAACCGTCCGCCCCGAGGGCCCAGCCCGGCACGAGCTCCAGAACCTGTAGAAGGTGAGGAGGCTTGGGGTTCCTCTCCCTGGCATGGTCGGCCAGGCCCGAGGCAGAAGGACATCGAAGATGCGGCTGTGGCACAGGCCCAGACGACGCCAGCAAGCAGAGCTGCCGGGGCAAGTGGTGCAGGAACAGAAGGGGCGCGGGACCGACCGCGTCGGAGGCCCTGGTGGACGGAAAAGGAGAGAGATGAGGGACCCAGCTGCCTCCAGGAGGGCGGGGGAGAGCCTGGGCGACACCAGAGAGACAGGAACTGTGCGGGGAAACGGTGGTTTTATCGACTGCTGCTCCCCGGGACGACCAGAACCCCCATGCCCCAGCTTACACCCGTCTGCGGCTCCGCACTGCCCTCCACCCCCGGCTCGTTGGACCGTCGGAACTGTCCTGCGAAGCGGAATGCGGTCGCTCTCAGCTTACGGAACAAGGACACCAAGGCTCAGGGGATGGAAGGAGGCGCCCTAGAGCGAGTGGGTGGGCGAAGTGGGCCTCCCCGCTCAGCGTGTCTCTCTCTCTCTCTCTCTCTCTCTCTCTCTCTCTCTCTCTCTCTCTCTCTCCAGGGAATCCGCAGGAAGTGGTGGCAGCAGACGACCGCCCGCCCCCGAGAGGTGGCGCCGGGATCCCCGCACCGGAGCTGCCACGTTCCCTGTCCGTGGGGTTCGCTGCTTCATCCGGAAGACGCCCGCTGCTCTGCTGGAGTTCACACTCTCCTTGAGCACTTTCCCCAGACTTATCTCCACGGGCCCTCCGGTGCCGTGGGTCCCAGCAGAACTCCGGGACAGTGCACAATTCCCTCCCCTGGCAGCTGCTTGGGTCCTGGCTCCCTGGTGGAGCCGCAGGTTCTTCCAGCCAAGGCTCCAGGGAGCCCGTGAGCGGCCTCGGCAAACTCAGCGCCCCTCCTGCTGAGGTCTGCCCAGGGCGGAGGCTTTTCCTGGACGGACTGCAGAGGGATGAGATTCTAAAGGGAAGACTTTTTCTTTGTTCTGCTTTTAGTTAAAATTTTTTGACATGGATGTTTAATTCCCATGTCCAGTGGCTTTGTGGTATACTCACAATGGTGCGCAGCCATCATCACAGAATAATGCCAGAATATTTTCATTTCCCGCCGAAGCGACTCCATACGCACTGGCCATCACCACCTGTTCCCCATCTTCCCAGGTCCTGGCAATGGCTGTGCCTGATCTGGGCAGCTCAGAAATGGGACCATACGGTATGTGGGCTTTCAGGGGGACCGGCTTCTTTCACTTGGCCCAACGTCTCTGAGGTCACTCCGTGTCGCAGCATCGAGCGTCAGCCTGTCACCTCTCTCTGTTGCCCAACGTGTCCCGTGGTGTGGCCGAACCTCCTGCTGTCCATCCGTTCGTCGGCTGGTGGACACGGAGTTGGCTGCACTCTTTGGCTCCCGTGGATAACGCTGCTGTGAACCTTCCTGGGCAAGTTTTTGTGCAGACGGGTGCTGTGCATTTCCTTGGATGCACGTACCCAAGAGTAGAACTGCCGGGTCCTAGGGTAGGGTCACGGCTCACCCTTCGAGGGCCTGCCCGGCTTCTCCACGGCTGCGGCCCCTTTTTGCATTCCCTCCAGCAGGGCATGAAGCTTCCGGTGTCTCCCCACCGCCTCGCCGGCCCTTGCCGTGGTCCGTCTTTCGATGATGGACCGTAGTCATCCCAGCGGAAGACGTGTGTTTTCCTGAGTGACAATACTTCCTGCACACACGAGATGTGGACTTCAGAGAGTAGCCCCCTTTAAAGGCTCCCAGCCCTTACTGCCAACGTCCCCCCCCGCCCCCGCAGCTCCAAAGGGGGCTGTGCCTTTGGCAGAAGAAGGGTAGGTGTCCGCGGTCACTCCGGAAGAGCCACCACCATGTCCTGCTTTGCCTCCTCCATATGCAGAGCTCCTCCCTGGGGGCGAGTCACGTGTCCTCAGGGACAGATTTGGGAAGGTCAAGTTCTGCGTTCCACAGGTATCAGTTCTAAAGGCCACACTCCAGACATGCTTCGCTCAGTGGTCGATGATCGGAACATATGCCATCCAGAGCTCGAAACCATTTCCAGTTGTTAAGAAGGGATGGATTCCTAGCCACAGAAATGCCTTGACGTGGCGATACCTTGGATACGCTCACACCTCTTGCGTACTTTGTTGCCCACCCATCCCAGAGGGACAGGCTGTGGCCGGGGGAGGGTGGCCTGCTCAGGACCACGGATCCCTGGGCACTGGCTCCCGGCAGATCCAGGAGAAGCTCAGAGAAGGGTGCTCTTCCTCCAGGGAGACCACCAGACCTCTTGGGATCAGAAGGCGAGGGCTGCAGTTCAGAGCGAGGATTCTGGAGCCAGAATCCACTGCGCTTCCGGCAGTGCGGCCAGTGCCCGCCCGAGAGCGAGCTGTTGGATTCGTCTGGGCCTCAGTGTCCTCATCTATCAAGTGGAGATGACGCAACTAGCATGTCCTTTATAAGACTGTTAAACGAGAAAATGAACACAGGCGGCTGAGCTGAGTGCTGGGTGCGCAGTCACTGCCCGGTGTGGGTGTGTGTCAGCTGTCACCGTCCGCAGCAGCAGCAGTAGCAGCGGTGTGAACCAGCCCACCTCCTGAACGCCCCTCGGATTCCCTCTCCACACCCCGACGCCGGTTCAGACTCTGGCTACCCACGGAGATGGGGGACCACTTTTCTCGGACGGCCGTTCCATCGTCAGAAAGAACTAATTGTTGGAGACTTTTTAATGTTGAGCAGAGGAATCTGCCCCTGTCTTCCACAGGTAAGGCTGCCGGATGTAGCACCTGGAAACACAGGATGCCTGTGCAATATCTGGGACACCCTTACACTGAAACTTTTTAAGAATCCTGTGTTGTTGATCTGAAATTCAAGTAGGACTGGGTGTCCTGTGTTTGACTGGTGACCCTGCCCATGGGCCCGTAGTCAGACGTCTGGGGACAACATGCAAAAAGCCTCCCCACCTCTTCCACCTGACAGACAGATTTCCCTCCAGCGCCTTCCACCAAATCTCAGACACCGGATGCCTCTGGCCTTCCCCTACTTCTTTTACCCCCCGTCAACCTGGACTTTCCTCTTCGGGTTAGATCGTAAGCATCTGTCACAGCATGTGGCATGTCACGGTGCGGACAGCCGGCTGAGGACAGAATAAAGCAGTAGGACCACCCTCCTTGTCCTGGACCATGTCATTCTACCAGCGCGCCCTCGGTGTTTGTTTCTGAGCGGCCACGTGGCACCTGACTTCCAACGAGAGAGTGTCGCCACCGACCACGTTAAAGGGTAATGCGTATGCGCGGCTGCCTTCTCCGGTGAGACTGAGCTTGGTGGGGAATGGGAACACCCAGGAGCCCTGGTCTCTTGGGTAAAAACAAACCCGAAAAACACCCTCATACCCCGCAAGCACAGTTCCAGAATACACGTTAGCTATGTATGCATCCCCACCCCATAAAGACCGGCCTCTGGGGTAAGAACCCCGGGACTCTGGCAGCAGAAAGGCTAGCACTGTTGAGCTAGAGAGACCTGCGCACCTGTCTTCCTGGATCCAGAGGACGCTTTCGGGCCAGGGTTCTGAGGCAGCAGGCCCTGGGCCGACCGCCTGACCTCCGGAATTGCGAGCGCCTGGCACACGGGCTGCTCTGGGGTGGACCCCGAGTTGGCCTGCTGCTGGGGTGCGGACCCCACGCTGGGCTGCTGCTGCAGGGCAGACCCCGCGCTGGGCGGCTGCTGGGGGGTGGAGTTGGAGCTGGGCTGCTGCTGGGGGGTGGAGTCAGAGCTACTGTGCTGCGAGGTGGAGCCTCGGCGTCTGGGCTCTGCCTTCTTCTTTTTGCCCTTCTTCATGGTGGGTCCTCCCGACCTCAACGTGGACCTACATGGAGCTGCCTAATTGCCCGGCTCCCTCCCGGAGGGGCCGCTTGTCCCTGCCCTGGGGGAACGCTCTGGCCTTGGGCTGGACCCAGGCACCTCAAAGAAAGGTCACCCGCACCCCTCCTGTGAGGTCACAAAAGCCAGGGTGACTCCCACGGCAGTGACCTGGGGACAGTCTCCTCTGCTGACACCAGCCTGCTCTCCTCCCCCTTCCCTAGCGACTGGGAGGGGCAGAGGGCAGCTGCCAGAGTCCTCATGGGACTCGGGCCGGGCCGGCCGTGGGGCCTGGGACAACCTGGAGCCTATGATTCTGCAACTGGAGGGCCAGCCTCAGGCCCCTCTGCCGGTGTGTTCCCAGGCCCCCGAGTGCCGCTCCGCTCTGCCCCTGTTTCCCACACACCAAAAAACCAAATACCGGAAAACAAACCCCCCAAACTACTTCCCTACACATTCTGTGTTTTACGTGACCTTACTGAAGACTTGGGGGCCCATGGAGAGAAAGCCCGTGGCCTCCTACCTTCTCCGCTGTCCCCCCCAGATTACTTTACATAAAATAGCTCCCCCCTTCTTCCCAAACCTTCCCTCCCCCACGGTGGGAAGGGACTGGGGTGGGGTCTCCAACTTTGATAAGAACACTAGCATTTGGCAAAAGAATCCCTCCTAACCACATAATAGCTGTTTGGGAAACGAAACGACATTTTTCTCAAACTCGTTGCGCCAGCCTCAAACAGACGACCTTTCAGACGCCCAACTTGCCAAGTCAGTTAGGAGACTATGAATCTGTCTCGAAGTTAACAGTGTGATTTTCCTTTTAGGCTGGGAGAGAAAAAAGCGCTCTTTAAGAGACAACCTTAAACGTCACATTTGACTCCAACAAAAAATGTGTTCACATTAGGAGACTCTACTTCTGCCACGGACGCATCACAAGGGGGTGAGTATTCTACCCTTAACCCCCGGCCTCTGGGGGGTCCCACTCCCACCCCAGGGCAAGGTGTAGGGTAGACCTAGTGAGGGGGAATCCCCACGCAAGGCCAGACCTGGCGCGAGCTGTCAGATGACAGGCAATGTCTTAGTGGTTCCAGAGCCTGAAAAGACCTTGTGGTCCTCTTTCTGCAGAGGAGAAACTGAGGTTCAAGGTTAAATTACTTTTCCAAAGTCCCACAGCTGTGGGAGAGGGGGTTGGGGTGGGATTGAATTGATTACATCTCTGTTCAGGGCTCTTTCTCTGACTCCAGAAGGCGACAGGGAGTCAGAGAATTACCTTGGCCTTAAAATGAATGACTTAAAAGAATACCTCGAGTGGGAGGATTGAAGGAAAAGAAGGCACGAAGGATGAGAAGTGAAGGGAAGCTCGGGTCAGCAAAGCCGGGTCGAATTTGGCTGAGCCTGAGTGTGAGGAGGCTCAGGGACCGGGGAGGCTCCAACAAGGTGTAACTCCCTGATCCCTGAAGTCAAGAGCAATGGCTCCCTGGGGGGGCGGAGCTCACTTTATTTATTTATTTATTTAAAAAAATATTGTACTTATTTTATTTTTAGACAGAAGGGAAGGGAGGGAGAAGGGGAGGGAAACATCAATGTGTGGTTGCCTCTTGCGTGCCCCTTACTGGAGACCTGGCCCGCAACCCAGGCATGTGCCCTGACTGGGAATTGAACCTGCAACCCTTCGGTTCACAGACCAGCGCTCAGTCCACTGGGCCACACCAGCCAGGGCGGGACTCACTTTAGAGTCAGAGAGACTGGAACCCGGTCAGGACCCCTGCCCACATTTGGCAGGCAGGTCACACCTCCTCAGGTGTTTATCTCTGCAAAACTTGATTTCAGGCACCAGTGGGCTTTTGACTAAGGGCCACAGCCTGGTGTAAATCAGGGCTTCTCACCCTCAGGGCCACTGGTGTCGGGGCCAGATCGTCCTTAGCTGTGGGCTGTGGGGCGCATTGTAGGACAGTAGGCAGCATCCTTGGCCCTCTGCCCACACGATGCCAGTAGCAACTACTGCTCCTTCCAAGTTGTGAAATCAACAATATCTACAGACCCTGGTAGACATTGGTAAATATCAGTGTGTGCATGAGAGAGAGAGAGAGAGAGAGAGAGAGAGAGAGAGAGGGGAGAACAGAGAGTTGCCCCCGGCTGAGAACCACTGTTTAAATGCATCCCACAGGTGCAGACACACACGGGTGGATGCCCTGGGATGAATGAAAGGAATGTTCTATGTTCCATTTCACACCAAGGGAGGGCACCGAAAGCAGGTCCCTGCTCCCCAGGAGAGCAATGGAGGAAGCACAGAGGGTCCGGCTTTGGGAGGAGTGGGAGTTTTTCTATGGCAGTGGAGAAAGCATGTGTGGGTTCTTTAGTGAGGATGGTCCCAAGATCGGGGGGATGGGGGGTGGGGGAGTGGGGGACTTGTGGAGTAACAGGGAGGGCCAGAAGGACAGTTCTTTGCTAGAACATCTTCTACGCCCTCTGCCTTCGGGTCGGAGCACAGTTTCCTAGCCTGAAGCCTGACTCCTCTGTCAAAGTCACGGCCCACTGTCCCAGGTCTGTTCTACCCACGTCTGGCTCCAGCCCGCCACGAGCATCAGAGGTCTGGTGAACGCTCCTCACTCCCCTGCATTTGTGGAAGCCCTCCCCCCTGCACCCTGCCCCTCTCCCCCTCTGTCATCCAGATCCGCCTCCAGGGAACCCATCCACGCATAAAGCCTTTCTCAAGAGCTCCAACCGGAAGCCATGTCTCCCTCTCTGAGCCCAGATCACAGTCTGTCCACCTGGCATGAGAAAGGCTCCTACCCTTGTCTTCTCTTGCGGTCCCCACTCCCACACTGGCGGCCGTGAAGAGCCAAAAGTCTCGAGAAAGGGCTCAGCGTAAGCTGCTTGAAGGCGAGGGTGGAAAGCAGGCAAAAACAAGGTGGAGACGTAGGTAGATACACGGTGCCTCCTCGCACAACCCAAAGAAGGAAAACAACAAATTTGAAACAAAAACAACCAGAACTGACAGAAAACCGAACTGTATGGAAGTCCAACAACCAATGAGATAGAGAAGAAACACTCATCCAGACCTGTAGGAGGGGCGGAGCCAGGCAGCTGGGTGGGGAGGACTCACGGTAAGGCTGCATGTGGCCGGCAGACCAGGTGGTCCTACATCTTCATGCAGATAAACCCGGAGAAACAACTGGGGAGGAAGACAGAGCATGCAACCCAGGGAAATAAAACCTCAAACCTCTGACTCAAAACACCAGCGGGGTTGAGGCAGCGGGCGAGACTCCCAGCCTCACAGGAGAGTTCGTTGGAGAAACCCACAGGGTCCTGGAATGTACACAAGCCCACCCACCTGGGAATCAGCACCAGAAGGGCCCAATGTGCTTGTGGGAAGCGGGGGAAGTGACTAAAAACCGGCAGAGAGTGGAGCAAGTGGCACTGTTCCCTCTTGGGCCCCTCCCCCACAGACAGCGTCACAACGTAGCAACACGGTTGCCCTGCCCTGGGGAACACCTAAGGCTCCACCCCTTACTATGCAGCAGATGCGTGGAGACCACACACACACAAAGGCCCAAATGAAAGAACAGATCAAAACTCCAGAAAAATACAACTAAGCGATGAAGAGATAGCCAACCTACCAAACACTGGTGATCAGGGTGCTCACAGAATTGGTTGAGTATAGTCGCAAAAGAGAGGAAAAAGTGAAGGCTATAAAAAGTGAAATAAAAGAAAATGTACAGGGAACCAACAGTGACAGGAGGGAAATTGGGACTCAAATCCGTAGTTTGGAGCAGAAGGAAGAAGTAAACATTCAACTAGAACAGAATGAAGAAAAAGGAATTCAAAAAAATGAGGAGAAGCTTAGGAACTTCCAGGACAACTTTAAACATTCCAACATCCAAATCATACGCATGCCAGAAGGAGAGGAAAAGCAAGAAATTGAAAGCCTATTTGAAAAAAAATAATGAAAGGAAGCTCAGAGAGCCCCAAGGAAGTTGGACCCAAGGAAGCACACACCAAGACACATCCTAATTCCATTACCCAAGGTTAAAGAGGAGAGAATCTTAAAAGCAGCAAGAGGAAAGAAAGTCACCTACAAAGGAGTTCCCATAAGACTATCAGCTGATTTCTCAAAAGAAACCTTACAGGCAAGAAGGGACTGGCAAGAAGTATTCAAAGTCATGAAAGGCAAGCACTTACAACCAAGATGACTCTATCCAGCAAGGCTATCATTCAGAATGGAAGGGCAGATAAGGTGCTTCTCAGATAAGGTCAAGTTAAAGGAGTTCATCATCACCCAGCCCTTATTACATGAAATGTTAAAGGGACTTATCTAAGAAAAAGAAGATCAAATATATGAACAGTAAAATGACAACAAACACAACTATCAACCACCAAACCTAAAAAAAAAAACAAATCCAAAACGAACTATCCAAACAACTAGAACAGAAACAAAATCACAGAAATGGCGATCACATGGAGGTTATCAGTAGGAGGGGGAGGAAGGGAATGGGATTGGGGAAAAGGTGCAGGGAATAAGTAGCATAGATGGTAGGCACAAAATAGATAGGGGGAGGTTAAGAATAGTATAGGAAATGTAGAAGCCAAAGAACTTCTATGTACGACCCATGGACATGAACTAAAGGGGGAGGTGAGGGTGGGAGGCAGATGCAGGGAAGAAAGGAATAAAGGGGGGAAAATGGGACAACTGTAATAGCATAATCAATAAAATATATTTTAAAATTAAAAAATAAAATAAAGTGAAAAAAAGGAAAGCAGACAAAGAAAGTGGGAAACCGTTGATGACAGGGTGGGTGTGGATGATGGAGACTCGGTACCCTGGAGACTGCATCACTAAGGGGTTGCTTTCAAAGACGGCCTGGGGTTTCCTGGCCTTGGCCGAGGACCATGGCTGGAACAGCCCATGGTCAAGGGCTTTCCCAGCCGGGCGTGGCAACCGTGGGGAAGTCCTGTGGACCCTGTCAGAGAGTGAGCAGAATGAGTGTAAAAGGGGAGGCAAAGCTAGGTCATCAGCACAGAGTCCTGACCGGGCTGTCCCTCATGGCCCTGGCCCTCCAGGTCCCTCCTGGGCACCCAGAACAAGTGTGTCAACATTTGTCCTGAAGCCAGCATCTTAGAACTGGATGTTCTCTCAGATGCCAGCTGGCCCTTGGCCCCACAGGTTGGGGGGGCAACTATCCACAGAGGGGACAGCTTGCTCTGGTCACCAGCAGCAGAATGGCAGAGCCTCTAGTCACCTGGCTTTGGACCACCTTGCACTGAGTTCTTCCTTCTTCCCCACCACTGCCCTGGAGCTTCCGGAGACGGGAGGTACTGCCTCCCGTTCATTCAAGAGCCCACTGCCCTGGACCCTTAGACCCGCAGATGAACTGTCTGGGGCGAGGGACCCAGATTCCTCCACAGGAAAGGTCTCAAGGGCCGTAAGGAAGAATCGGGCATCAGCCGGCTGCTCTAAAACAGTGTCTACCTTCCCGAGAGGGCTGTTGTGAGGCTTAGACGTGAGAAACCCTCAGAACAGGGCCTGGCGCACACTGGCTCGCTTTGATTGGAGTCCTGGTTCCCTTGGAGGAGGAGGCTGAAGAACCAAGCAAGGAATAAGCGGAGGAGGGGAGGGTCTGGGGCTTGCCAACTCCCAAACCTGTACCCTACAAGGGCTGGTTCCCAGCGGTGAGCAAGGGGGCAAGGGGCTCCGCAGAAATTAAGTGAACTCGGACACCCTTGGCCCCGGATTGCCCAGTAAGCGCCCTTGGGGACGGAAGTCCAGTTCATGTTCACTCAGACGGTTTAAGTGGGTACGCTAGGAGAGGGACCGTGGCATCAGGGACGGTGACCTCCACTGTGACCAGCAGGGTCAGGGCACAGGCCGCCCTCCGTATATGAAGTTTGCCCCCGCCCCCGGGAGACGCCCGCGGCAGGCAGCCTGGCGCCCCCACCCCTCGCCTTCAGGCCCCTCACCATCCGTCTGAGTCTGTCCATCCACTAGGTGGACGCAGCCTCGCGCCGGGACATTGCGTGCTCCGTTGGCGGCGCGCTGGACGTCCAGGGTACCCTCGGGGCGGCTGGGGCTGAACACGGCCGTGTGCACCTCCACGGCGGGGCTGGGCGGCGCGAAGGCGCTGCACAGCAGGGTTTCCATGAGGCGGCGCGCCTCGGCCTCCTCGTCCCGCCGCGGCTGCACCACGATCCCGACCAGCGCGGCGGGCGGGCCGCGGTGCTGGGCGTGCACCTGCTGCAGGAGCAGCTGCAGCCGCGGGAGCTGCGAGCGCAGCGCGGACACGCGGCACAGCACCAGGAGCAGCCGCGCGCCGGGCTCCGGAGGCTCCGGAGGCTGCGGCGAGTCCCGGCCTCCAGACGCCGGATCCTCCGCGGTCCCGGACCCGGGGGCCCGGGGCACAGCCCGAGCTGCCTCTGGCTCACACTCACGCGGGGCGTCATCCCTGAGCTTGGGATCCGGCAGCTTCTGGGCGGAGCGTTTGGACTTGGCTGCCGGGCAGTCCGCGCCGTTCGAAGACCTGTCGCCCGAGCGCTTGCGACGCAGCCTGGAGCAGCTGTTGGAGCTGCTGCGGCTGCTTGGGGCTCGGATGGACGAAGGACCGGCGGGCCTGTTTGTCGGGGCCTGCTCCAGAATGTCCTGCAGGGCCAGGCACGGCTCATCCTGCTGCCAGAGCCCGCGCAGCAGCAGCACCTGGCCGTGGCCCTCGATGGTCTGGGCGGGAGCCTGTGGCTGCGGCTCCGCCTTCCCGCCCTCCGGAGCCGGGGAGGGCTGCCTCTTCGGCTCCATGTCCGCCGGCTCCCTTGCCCCTCTGGGCCGGGCCTTCCTTAGCCAAGGGCACAGCTGCCCTTCCCTGGAGCATGTCACAATAGCCCCCCTGCACCCTGCCTCTGAGTCCTGCTGCCACTAAGAGTCTCTGTGCTCTCTCTATTCCTTGGAAATTTTCCAGCAGAGATAGGGAAGTTGCTTCTGGGTGCTGGTGTACTGTCGGCGTGTTTCGTTTCTCTGCCATTTTGTATGTCCTCGGTGTCAGGCGGACAAATCCTTCTGGCCCGTGGTTGGACTCCTATGCCTATGTCTCCAAGTAAAACAGATTTTTGTGGAGCCAGGGCATTTAAAAAGCAGTGGGCGGGGCTGCTCACAGCTCCTGGAACGTGTGACCAGTAGGGAGGATCACAGAGGCTGGTTCTGGCTGGCTGCAGCGTGGCAGCCCAGGGCCTGCCCAGGCTCCGCCCCACTGCCCTCTGGGCCATGTGGAGCCAGAGTCCCAGGTTATTGTAAACAGATGGGGCTGCAGGAGGTGGTTTGGGGTGGGGGTGGTGTCCCTCAGTTTCCCTTTCTACGGGTATGCTTTTGAAAACCCAGTCTTCCCATCCTGCGTCTCTCCCTTACTACTCACACCTCATTGTTGACACTTCTGGATGTCCCACGATTTAACTCGGTCCCAACACCACCTGCCTGGAGGAAGGGTCAGGTTCCACCGCCCCCTCCCCAGTCACAAGTCCACCCGTGGCTCTGACCCATCAGGAGGTTCCCAGGACCCCCTCCTCCGGTTCGATGAATTTGCTAGAGTGGCTCATAGAACTCAGGAAGATAGTTGACTTACTGCTCGCCAGTTCACTTTAAAAGCATATGATACAAAACACAGATGGACAACCAGATGGGAAAGAAGAGTGAGGCAGAGCATGCGCACAGGGGCTTGGAGCTTCGGGGCCCTCTCTGGGTGCACCGCTCTGCCCGCACCTGAGTTCACCGGCCCCGAAGGGATGTCCACGGAAGCTTCCTCACGCAGGTGTGACCGATTATCAACCCCACTGCCAGCCCCTCTCTGGAGGACGGGGGTGGGGCTAAAAATGCTAAGCCTCTTGTCATCTTTTGGTCTTTCTGAGCCCCCATCCAGGAGCCCCCCCCTCCCCAGGGTGGCCTCATTAGAACAAAAGACACTTCTCTCATCCAGGAAATCCCAGGGGTTTTAGGAGCTGTGTGCCAGGAGCCAGGGTCAAAGACCAACCACAGAACCAAAGATGCTCCCAGTGCTCTTATCACGTAGGAAGTTACAAGGGTTTCGGGAGCCCTGTGCCAGGAACCGCGGGCAGAGGCTAATTAATAGGTATTTCCTATCATCTCCCAGGGCACCAGGGGCCTGTCAAAGTGCCAGGAAAGATTCCCCAGGAAAACACAACACAACACAACACGACAAAACAGTTCTCAGTCGTGAGGCCCGGGACGTCCAAGGTCAAGGCACTGGCGAGGGCCTGCTTCCTGGATCTCAGACAGCCATGCCCTTCCCGTGTCTTGACAAGGTGGAAAGGACAAGAGGCATCTTTCTGAGGTCTCTTTTGTAAGGGCACTAATCGCATTCTCGAGAGCTCCACCTTCCGGACTGAACCACCTCTCCAAGGGCGTACTTCGCATTGGGAGGAGGTGTCAACAGGCAGGTGAATTTTGGGAGACACATTCAGTTGGCAGCGGAAATGGGATTTTCCCCTGGAGCCTTCGGAAAAGAGCACGGCTCTGCCAGCCTACTGCGCTGAGCCCGGTGCGCGCTGGGTCGTATTTCCAACCTACGGAGCTGCGAGAGAACAAATTCGTGTTGTTTGAAGCTGCTGCGTGTGTGGCAATTGGCGGCAAGAAGAAACTACCCAAGGTCATATAGCCAGGACGAGGCAGAGCAAGGATTCGGGTGTGACCTGAAGCCCACCTTTCCCCCATCCCGTCCTGGCTCCCAGACAGCGGGGACTCAGTCGCCTCCCTGCTGCAGCAGGAGCGCAGGGCATTGTGGAACTGAGTGAGCGGGAAGTGTGGGGAGCTGTGTGCGCCACCGTGGGGGGAGGGCCAGTCCGGCTGCTCAGCGGCATGTGGCGAGGACACATGTCAGATCTGGGACATTAATTAGACGAGGAGCCAGCAGGCTGAGGCGGCCGTAAGGCCGTGGAGGCCCACGTGAGCGAACCCCAGTCTGAGCCTGCCAGTGCCCCGGGGTTACAAGATCAAAACCGTAAAGACAACCAATCACGACAGCCACGTCGGCCTGAAGCTATAGTCAGTTGAATACAGGGTCTGGCACAAATAACGCCCCATTTCAAATGACCAGAGCTTTTGCTGCAAAATCACAAGCATGTAATTCTGTTGCATAAAACTATCGCACCCAAGCACACCGTAGGACAGTTTAGGTGACATGTTCAAATTGCTGCCCGTCTCGCGTGAGACATCCACCTGCCCTACCCACCACACTCCGGCAAGCCTCCTGCCAGCCCCCGTGTTTTCCTTTCTCTGCCTCAGCACTTTCTCTGTGTCTCTCTCTTGGCCCAGGGCTCCTCCCGGCTTCCAGTTTGGGGCTCCCCAACTTGAGTTGAGTTTTGCTCAAATAAACTCTTAAACTTTTCGATATGCCTTAGTTTACCTTCGAACGGATCCTAACGGCACTGCACTTTGTCCCCCAAGGGGACGGTCACTCCCCTTTCCTCTCGTGGGAAAGCACCCGTCATTTAATCAACATTTATTTTGCCTGTGAAGTCCCAGCACTGAGCGCGTTCTCCGCGAACACACAGGAGCTGTGATAGGCAGGGAAGTTTCTTGGCCAGGCAGAGGTTGCCATCTAGTGGGCAAAAGAGGAATCCTCACAACATCATGACCATCAGCCCCATTTTGCAACCAAGGAGGCTGCCGCTGAGCAGTTGCAGGCCTTGGCTAAGACCCTGCAGCTATACCGAGTCAGGAGCACCGGGGAAGGCATTCCACCCCACAGTCTGATTCCCCGGCCGGTCTGTGGTGCTCGCTGCACTCTGGCGTTGCGGAACTCAGACCTGCACCTGTTTCATGTGCCACAGAGGCCCGAGGGTGGAGGAAAGGGAGCTGCTGGTGAAGCGCTGGGAAGCAGAGAGAAACCAGGGCCATTCGTGCTCGGAAAAAAAGCAAAGAAGAATAGGGGGTTAGGAAACTATGATGGCCTCCAGATGTCTAAAAGTCTGGCTCCGTGTCCGCATGGAAAACTGGGCAGTAAGAGAACATTCGATGTCGTGGAAAGGTGTTCATGGCATATTGTTAAAAAGAAATTGGGTTGCAAAGCAGTCTACCTTATAGAGCTCACTCCTCCTTTTTTGGTAAAAATGTACATATCAGGATAATTTTTAAGAAGCTGTGTACCTGGCTGTTGTGGCTTAGTGGGTTGAGCATTGGCCTGCGAACCAAAAGGTCACAGGTTTGATTCCCAGTCAAGGCACATGCCTGGGTTGCCAGCCAGGTCCCCACTTCAGGGTGCACTAGAGGCAACCACACACTAATATTTCCCTCTCTTTCTCCTTCCCTTTCCCTCTCTCTGAAAGTAAATAAAAAATGAATACACAAAATCTTTTTTTAACAAAGAAGTTGTGTAAATACACTTGAGTATGTTAACTGGAGTGTAACTAGGTTATAGGTATAGATTTGCCAGACTTAGCAAATAAAAACCAGTTACATTTGAATTGAAGGTGGACTACGAATAATTTTTTAGAACAAGCACATCCCATGCAACTCTTTGTCGTTTATCTGAAATCCGAATTTAACTAGATGTCCTGTGTTTTATCTGGCAACCAGATACAGGAATTTTTCCTTTTGCTTACCTGTGTGTTTATAATACTCTTGTATAATATGTGTAATATTAATACATATGCACTGTGCATTATAAATGTTGTAATATGCCTAATATTGATACAGGACATGATATGTATTGGTTTCAGCTGTACCCCATGGTGATTAGACGTTTACAGACCTTACAAAGTGATCACACCAGTAAGTCAGGTGCCCATCTGAGGCACAACATAGTTATTGACTATGGACGATACTTTTGAAATAATAAAGGGAACCAGCCAAAGTCCTGCCTTGTGTAAGGGGACCAGTTAGAGGCGTCCATAGCGAATTCCTGGATTTCCCCGACAAGTAGAAAAGAAAGCGGCCCTGGCACCTGGGCTCAGGCTCCTGGCCGAGATGCCTGCGCTGGTCGACCACCAGGCGGCGCTGCCGGGCTGCGGGCCCGGAATGCCAGGATCTCAGCCCCCCGGGAGAGGGGAACAGTAGTACCGCCTCTCGGATCCTAGTGGTCCTAGGGAGCGCCCAGGGCAGGGCCAGGGAGCCGGAGCTGGGTGCAAAGTTGGAACTCCACCTCCAGAGCGCACCCCGGGCCCTTTCCTCTGCAAAGTCCTCCTGCGCGTGCTGGTCCCTTTCCTCTCACTAGACCGCAGGCATCTCCCCATTGATGCAGCTCACGTACCTCAGGGGACAGAACGGGACTCGCACACTCACCTGTGGGCAGACTCCAGGAGGGAGGCGGGAGGACGGTTCCTGTCCTCGGGGAGGGGAGGGTCTAGCTGCCGAGGAGGGAGAAATGAGGATACCGGGCCTGTGCGCGGAGATGCTCAGAAACTGTGCATTGCTGACCAGCTTGTGCGCACACCTCGGCACAGCATGTGCTGAACAAAGGAGAAGTTCAGTGAGTGTTTTTCTTCCGATCGACAAATACCCGGAGCCCCTCTCTGTGCCAGGCCCTGGGCTAGGTCCTGGGGGTGAAGTCCCTGGCCCTCCTGGAGCTTATATTTTGGTAGGAGAGACACAAACAACAAACAGGTAGAACAATAATATAACTTCACTTGGTGTTAAGCTCTAGAAGAAAATAAAGCAAGGTAATGGGCTTCTTGCTAAGGCTTGCCTCCTGCCTGGTGCCGGCTGACCATAGAGCAGGGGAGGGAGGAGCGGCAGGAGGGGCAGGGAGAGCCACTCCCACCCTCCTGGCACAGCCAACAGCCCTTGATCCCATTTAGCAGGTCTCTTGGGGTGGTGGTGAGGGGATGTAATTCAGGGAGCTGCCAAAGTGATGGAATCCGCCTGGCTGGGAGTAGAACAGTCCAGAGAGGAGTTCAAGTCCCTGGTCCCTGGGCCTCTGTGGGTAGAACAGGGCAGGACAGAGCTTCAGGGTCAGCCCACCCTGGAAGGGGATGGCAGAGAGGATGAGAGAGAAGCCAGAGCACCTCATTGGAGCAGAGGTGGGGGAGAGTGATGCTTAATTTTTTTTAAAGATTTTTTTATTCATTTATTTT